AGGGGTACGTGTTATATTACAGCAGGTTATATGGCTACTGGGACATTACGAAATGGAACTTATTGACAATTTCGCCTCTCTGTCACGTATTACTTGGAACCTGGAACTACCAAGCCTTATACAGACATGCGCTAASGCTATAATATTTACCATTTATTATTTTCGTGTAAAAACCTGAATGTGAGTTACATACATGGTGGTGTTTGCCTTCTAGTAAGCATTATTTTAGATGTAGTTGGATTTATATTCAGTGAGCATGGTTGGAAGTTCAGGAAGAAGAAATTTATGCAGATTTGTGCAAGAAAAGCTGTCCAAGTGGATGAACAGACGACCTGTTACAAATATTTTCCATAAGTTAAATTTCTTAATCCATGAATGCACACCTGTCTTTTTTATTTATTACAAGCTGCTTGTGTAAATATTTTTTACATCATCAATGAACTCTTATTTTGTGTGTACTAAATAGTTTTTGTTACTGCACCTTGGCAATGGAGTTGCAAGCATATAGTAATGAGAAGCACTTGCATTGTATTGTTGGATAGCCTACCATCATGCATGTATATCAAAACAATTTGTTCATATTGATTTTCTATTCTCATGATGGAAACAGCCAAGTTTGTTTCAAAACAATGTGAAAGGAAGTTTGGGTAAATACTAAATAGAAGTCAAGATACGCGAACTTTAACATGGTTTTTCTGTTTCTTTCTCAGCATTCTTGGATTACTATGATATACCATACAAAGTTGTGGAGGTGAATCCATTTAGTAAGAAGGAGATCAAATGGTCTGATTATAAGAAGGTGCCCATATTCCTGTGAAATCTTCGTCAGCGCTCTCAAATGATGATGAAGAGAAGAAGTGGCGCAGGTTTGTTCTTTCTTCTCTTTATAGTGCCTAAGAAATATATTTGTTTCATATGTTGTTTATGTTACATGGGTCAGTAATTGAGATATAAGAAAAGTGAATTGAGGTATTCACTTGTGCAGTTATCCAGCTTTATTTAGGGTTTCATTGCTATCAATTTTTGAACCATTTTGCAAAATCTTCAGTTATTGAATTTCACCATGCTGCGACTAAATCCTGCCAACTGTCTCAAATATTTATGCCAATACACACACACAGAGAGAAAGCATAAATGAAAACAGGT